TGAATATTTATAAATATACTTATGAATGTTTTTTTAGATGAAACGGTTAGTTCTCCTTAAATCTTTTTTAATATTTATTACTGAACTAAACAAAGCAGCACGGTTTCAAAAACTTAAATATTATTATTGAGGGTTAGATTTGATCAGGTTTACTTTAAAATACATCAAGTGACCATACAATGACCATGTTTGTCTAATACAAACTTTGGAGAAAGACTGACATCACTGACCTTATTACGACTCCTTCAGGGAAGAATAAACAATGTGTGTTAAATATATTCAAGTCTTTAAAACGTCTGCATTAGGTGGAGCGCCCGAGGCCTAGTGGTTAATGCGTGCGCCCCGTGTACAGAGGCTGAAGTCCTGACTCTAAATTAAAGAACAAAAAGAAACCTTTCAAAAAGACTGCTGGCATGAAAAACAAAGTTAGTTTGAAAGAACGCTGGTTCCTCTAGCTGTGACTCTGGATGCACAGCACCAGTCTGAACTTGTTTAAAATGTGCTGGGCATTATGGGGAGGCCTTACCCATCAAGCTGTGACCACATGAATATGAATAAAGCACCGAGATGGCAGAAACAAGCAGTTTTTATTTTCCATTATACAAAAAGTTACAACAAACAGCAGAAGAACTAAACTGTGAAATATAAGCTTCATGTTGTTTTGGACTCGTCAGAGACACGGAGGCGTCACTGGTCTTCATTCAAACCCACTGAAGAGAAAGAAAAGAGAGAAAGGTGAAGTCATGACCAAAAGATTCACTTTTATGCACACTGGACTTGAAAATACCCGCACAGCTCCTCCATTGCACATTTGTTGTTTTTACATTCTATTATATATTTTCTCATAGCCTAAATATTTGTACCTTATTCCTATTGAAGCTGTTTTCATATTTCCCTTGTATGTGTAAATGTACTTGGCAATAAACTCAGATTGTGATGATCAAAAAGAGGAAGAGCACCGATCTAAGACAACCATGAAGAAAGCAGAGATTTGAACTCTTTAATCAGCGTCCTGCCCTCTCTGCCTGTGGTCAGCTTGGTTTAACTTCTGGGCTCAGAAGCCAATAGGCAGTCAGGAGGGACATCAGTCACCTGCGCACACCTGATCAGGCTTCAGCTTTTTGAAAGTGGCTTCCTCTCTTTCATCTCTCCACTCTCAGGCCTCCAGCAGCTGGTTTCACTCCTCATTGCATCACAATCATGACTGATTCATCAAGATAGTTTTCACTTCCTGTAAACTTTGGATCATGTGCTCCCCTTCTTTGTCTCTTCCTGAGCCAGTTGGTGACATTAGTCAGATCCAGACATGGTTCCTGTCATCTTCTCCAGAGGCCGTTTCAGAAAGCAGGTTTAGTGCAAACACAGTCTGTCACTATGGTAACTAAATCTCTGAGTCTGTTACTATGGTAACTGAAGCTCTGAGTCTGTCACTATGGTAACTGAAGCTGTGAGTCTGTCACTATGGTAACTGAAGCTGTGAGTCTGTCACTATGGTAACTGAAGCTCTGAGTCTGTCACTATGGTAACTGAAGCTCCGAGTCTGTCACTATGGTAACTGAAGCTCTGAGTCTGTCACTATGGTAACTTAAGCTCTGAGTCTGTCACTATGGTAACTGAAGCTCCGAGTCTGTCACTATGGTAACTAAAGCTCTGAGTCTGTCACTATGGTAACTTAAGCTCTGAGTCTGTCACTATGGTAACTGAAGCTCCGAGTCTGTCACTATGGTAACTGAAGCTCCGAGTCTGTCACTATGGTAACTGAAGCTCCGAGTCTGTCACTATGGTAACTGAAGCTCTGAGTCTGTCACTATGGTAACTTAAGCTCTGAGTCTGTCACTATGGTAACTGAAGCTCTGAGTCTGTCACTATGGTAACTAAAGCTCTGAGTCTGTCACTATGGTAACTTAAGCTCTGAGTCTGTCACTATGGTAACTGAAGCTCTGAGTCTGTCACTATGGTAACTAAAGCTCTGAGTCTGTCACTATGGTAACTAAAGCTCTGAGTCTGTCACTATGGTAACTTAAGCTCTGAGTCTGTCACTATGGTAACTGAAGCTCTGAGTCTGTCACTATGGTAACTAAATCTCTGAGTCTGTTACTATGGTAACTGAAGATCTGAGTCTGTTACTATGGTAACTGAAGCTCTGAGTCTATCACTATGGTAACTGAAGCTGTGAGTCTGTTACTATGGTAACTGAAGCTCTGAGTCTGTTACTGTGGTAACTAAATCTCTGAGTCTGTTACTATGGTAACTGAAGCTCTGAGTCTATCACTATGGTAACTGAAGCTGTGAGTCTGTTACTATGGTAACTGAAGCTCTGAGTCTGTTACTGTGGTAACTAAATATCTGAGTCTGTTACTATGGTAACTAAAGCTCCGAGTCTGTCACTATGGTAACTGAAGCTGTGAGTCTGTTACTATGGTAACTGAAGCTCTGAGTCTGTCACTATGGTAACTAAATCTCTGAGTCTGTTACTATGGTAACTAAAGCTCCAAGTCTGTCACTATGGTAACTGAAGATCTGAGTCTATCACTATGGTAACTGAAGATCTGAGTCTATCACTATGGTAACTGAAGCTGTGAGTCTGTTACTATGGTAACTGAAGATCTGAGTCTATCACTATGGTAACTAAAGCTGTGAGTCTGTCACTATGGTAACTAAATCTCTGAGTCTGTTACTATGGTAACTGAAGATCTGAGTCTATCACTATGGTAACTGAAGCTGTGAGTCTGTCACTATGGTAACTGAAGCTCTGAGTCTGTCACTATGGTAACTAAAGCTGTGAGTCTGTTACTATGGTAACTAAAGCTCTGAGTCTGTTACTATGGTAACTAAATATCTGAGTCTGTTACTATGGTAACTAAAGCTCCGAGTCTGTCACTATGGTAACTAAATCTCTGAGTCTGTCACTATGGTAACTAACCCTCTGAACCTATCCGGAAGCAGGTTTTCTTTAACAAACCGAGTTTCTCTCCGTCTCCTCTTACAGAGACAGAAACGCTGTTTCTTTTCCCCATTCTGTCATTCAGTCCATATCACGCCGTGTTATCGGAGATTCACCGTTTGTCTGATTCTAAATCCAGTTGGTTTTATATAATCAATCATTTATATAATAAAACAACCTATTTCAGTCGAGGATCCTGGAGAAGCAGAATCATTACTCCTCATTAACGTTGGGAGATGTTACTTTAAGGGCTAACCCTACCCTTCAATAATGTGATTTAAAGAGCAGCTGTAACAATGCTCTGTGGTTTCTGAAAACCCAACTGATATTAAGATAAAACACTATTAGCATCCAAAAAGTCTGGAGGGTTTATTTATCCCGTCTGGTCTGGGAACACCTCAGAATCCCCCAAGAGGATCTGGAAAGTGTTTCTGGGGAGAGGGAAGTCTGGGTTGACTTACTGCACTTGCTGCCACCTGACATCAGGTAAGCTGAAAAAAATGGCTGGATGGACAACATTCAAACTAACGAACAGACACGAGTTTCCAACCGGAGGGTAAATCCACTCAGAGCTTGTTCAACCTTCTTTCTGAAACGGCTCAGATCGTTTACATTTAATTTTTAGGCTTTTTGTGATTCAGAAGAAAACAACAGACAGATCACTTTTCTTTCTGAGTCAGGTAAAAGAGTTTTCACTGTGACCTTTGACCCTACCTGACCATGTGAGCGATGTCCCAGTTGGTTTCAGAAGACAGAGGTCCTATGATCTCAACCCCTTCTTCGGTTACGATGGCGATCTCGTGCTAAAAAACAAAAACACACAATGCCATAAATACTTTTTGGCATGATAACTGTTAAATCTTAGTGTCAGAGCATCGATATGACCTGAACAGATCAACACACACAAACAGAAGAATATTTCCCTCAGACTTCAGCAGGATATACTCCGGAGAATTCACCTCGAGCCAATAGGAAGAGAGTGACATTTATAAACAGAGACTGCATAGATTGTCTGCACGCTACCATCTCTGTGCTCTAATGAACCTGCTACATTCTGTTTCCTGTTCTCCAGTATGTTCTTCTTCTGTTGTCATTCCATTGGACTACACATAGCATTGGTATAAAGACACCCAGATCCTCTGTACAAACATTAGACCAGATCCTCTGTACAAACCTCCGACCAGATCCTCTGTACAAACATTAGACCAGATCCTCTATACAAACATTAGACCAGATCCTCTATACAAACATTAGACCAGATCCTCTGTACAAACATTAGACCAGATCCTCTATACAAACCTCCGACCAGATCCTCTATACAAACATTAGACCAGATCCTCTGTACAAACCTCCGACCAGATCCTCTGTACAAACATTAGACCAGATCCTCTATACAAACATTAGACCAGATCCTCTGTACAAACCTCCGACCAGATCCTCTGTACAAACCTCCGACCAGATCCTCTATACAAACCTCCGACCAGATCCTCTATACAAACCTCCGACCAGATCCTCTGTACAAACATTAGACCAGATCCTCTATACAAACCTCCGACCAGATCCTCTGTACAAACATTAGACCAGATCCTCTATACAAACATTAGACCAGATCCTCTATACAAACATTAGACCAGATCCTCTATACAAACATCCGACCAGATCCTCTGTACAAACATTAGACCAGATCCTCTATACAAACCTCCGACCAGATCCTCTGTACAAACATTAGACCAGATCCTCTATACAAACATTAGACCAGATCCTCTATACAAACCTCCGACCAGATCCTCTGTACAAACATTAGACCAGATCCTCTGTACAAACATTAGACCAGATCCTCTATACAAACATTAGACCAGATCCTCTGTACAAACATTAGACCAGATCCTCTGTACAAACATTAGACCAGATCCTCTATACAAACATTAGACCAGATCCTCTGTACAAACCTCCGACCAGATCCTCTGTACAAACATTAGACCAGATCCTCTGTACAAACCTCCGACCAGATCCTCTGTACAAACATTAGACCAGATCCTCTATACAAACATTAGACCAGATCCTCTATACAAACATTAGACCAGATCCTCTATACAAACCTCCGACCAGATCCTCTGTACAAACATCCGACCAGATCCTCTATACAAACATTAGACCAGATCCTCTATACAAACATTAGACCAGATCCTCTATACAAACATTAGACCAGATCCTCTATACAAACATTAGACCAGATCCTCTATACAAACATTAGACCAGATCCTCTATACAAACATTAGACCAGATCCTCTGTACAAACATTAGACCAGATCCTCTGTACAAACATTAGACCAGATCCTCTGTACAAACATTAGACCAGATCCTCTTTACAAACATTAGACCAGATCCTCTGTACAAACATTAGACCAGATCCTCTGTACAAACATTAGACCAGATCCTCTGTACAAACATTAGACCAGATCCTCTATACAAACATTAGACCAGATCCTCTATACAAACATTAGACCAGATCCTCTATACAAATATTAGACCAGATCCTCTATACAAACATTAGACCAGATCCTCTGTACAAACATTAGACCAGATCCTCTATACAAACATTAGACCAGATCCTCTTTACAAACATTAGACCAGATCCTCTATACAAACATTAGACCAGATCCTCTGTACAAACATTAGACCAGATCCTCTATACAAACATTAGACCAGATCCTCTGTACAAACATTAGACCAGATCCTCTGTACAAACATTAGACCAGATCCTCTATACAAACATTAGACCAGATCCTCTGTACAAATATTAGACCAGATCCTCTATACAAACATTAGACCAGATCCTCTATACAAACATTAGACCAGATCCTCTGTACAAACATTAGACCAGATCCTCTATACAAACTTATAACCTTCTAGACTTGAATGAGTTTGGTTGGAATGAGAAGAATAAGGTCCTAGATCAGCTGATGATCTCATGATGACCTTCCCATTACAACTCTTTTAATGAGGAACATTTCGGTGTAATCGAGTGAGTGATGACATGTATGATAAGCATTGATTTCACTGATGGGTAATGATTTCATGTGACAGATTTAATGAATGCAGCAGATTGTAAAGGATCACAGGTGAGACAAAGCTGAATTTAGAGAGCTAATCTTGCTTTTACAAACTGAAAGTAGGATATTATTTACATAAAGAGGCTTTTCTTTAAGCGTCTCTCAGAAGGTAAAGTGACTCACCCTGTTGTAGGAGCGAGCGTCTCTGTAGTAAAGAACTTTGAGGCAGCGCTCCACCAGCTCCCGCGCCTCCTGTTTGGTGATCTCCACTTTGTTCTCCACCACCTCTCTCATCAGAGGCTAAACACACACAAACACAAAGCAGGGTTAAACACACACACCTGGAAGAAACTTTGGTCTGTCTGAACTCACAGAGAGGTCAGCTGTCATTAACATGGAGTCAGTGAAGAACGTTTTAAACTCATGTTGTTGGTTTGGAGTCTGAGGAACGTTTTAAACTCATGTTGGTTTGGAGTCAGTGAAGAACGTTTTAAACTCATGTCGTTGGTTTGGAGTCTGAGGAACGTTTTAAACTCATGTTGTTTTGGAGTCAGTGAAGAACGTTTTAAACTCATGTTGTTTTGGAGTCAGTGAAGAACGTTTTAAACTCATGTTGTTGGTTTGGAGTCAGTGAAGAACGTTTTAAACTCATGTTGTTTTGGAGTCAGTGAAGAACGTTTTAAACTCATGTTTTGGAGTCAGTGAAGAACGTTTTAAACTCATGTTGTTGGTTTGGAGTCAGTGAAGAACGTTTTAAACTCTCATGTTGTTGGTTTGGAGTCAGTGAAGAACGTTTTAAACTCTCATGTTGTTGGTTTGGAGTCAGTGAAGAACGTTTTAAACTCTCATGTTGTTGGTTTGGAGTCAGTGAAGAACGTTTTAAACTCATGTTGTTGGTTTGGAGTCAGTGAAGAACGTTTTAAACTCATGTTGTTGGTTTGGAGTCAGTGAAGAACGTTTTAAACTCATGTTGTTGGTTTGGAGTCAGTGAAGAACGTTTTAAACTCATGTTGTTGGTTTGGAGTCAGTGAAGAACGTTTTAAACTCATGTTGTTGGTATGGAGTCAGTGAAGAACGTTTTAAACTCATGTTGTTGTTTTGGAGTCAGTGAAGAACGTTTTAAACTCATGTTGTTGGTTTGGAGTCAGTGAAGAACGTTTTAAACTCATGTTGTTGGTTTGGAGTCAGTGAAGAACGTTTTAAACTCATGTTGTTTTGGAGTCAGTGAAGAACGTTTTAAACTTTCATGTTGTTGGTTTGGTTTGAACTCAGGGACGTCAGTTGCAGAGCAGAGACAAAGGAATTCCTGTGGTAATTTACAGATTCACTGGCGACAACGCAAGATAATATGATGTGTGTGATAAGAAACCGTATGCGGAGTGTCTTATTCTGAAAATAAACCGGATGTTTGGATGTCTGACTTCCTGTCCAGCATGATCTTTTCTGTGGGGAATTGATGCCCCGTGCTCCGACAGACTGCAGAAATTAAAGCCTTGAGTATCTGCTATGTAGGCCAGCGGACTGACGGATGGAGCAAACTCACTCACCTGAGCCAGGTACGCTCCGAAGCCTGTGGCTACTGTGGGCGCCTCATAGGCCACGCCCAGCTTGTCCACGTAACCTAGGAAACTGAAAGGGGGGGCGGGGGGGCAGGTAAACGTTAGCACACAAAAAGCTGTTTAGTTTTGACATTTCTGAGGCACAAAGAGCACGGAGACCTTTCTCCATTGTAGAAACCTCCGATCACCACCGTGTTCCACAGAGGATTCATCTTGCTGCGCCGGTTGTACATCACTCTAGTCAGCCAGGAGTGGACCGCCTTCGGACTGTAGCTGTGCCCGTCACCCAGCAGCTCCTCGTCGATACTGAGTAAGAAGAAGAAAAGTTTAGAGCACAGCAGAGAAGCCGTTTTCTTCCTGTAGCGTCTGAGTGAGCTTACACCATCTGTTCGATGACCTGCTTCAGGTACTGGTAGTCAGCATAGTCTCCTGAAGCTCCCAGGATGGTGTTGCTGTTTACCTGAAGCACAACAAACAACAGTCAACACATGGTACTGCTTCACATCTACAGCTGAGGATGTTGTGATATCAGCAAACTGCACCTTCATGAGGCGGGAGACGTTCCTGAAGCGAGCCAGTGAGCCGTACGAGCCCAACATGTCGGCCGCAATGATCACGCCACCAGTAAACTTCACCCCGAGCACCGACGTCCCAGTTACCATCGGGTTACTACAGAGAGAGGGGGGGAGAGAGAGAGAGAGACAGAGAGGGGGGGGAGAGAGAGAGATAGAGGGGGAGAGAGAGGGGGGAGAGAGAGACAGAGAGAGGGGGGAGAGAGAGAGAGAGGGGGGGGAGAGAGAGAGACAGGGGGAGAGAGAGAGAGAGGGGGAGAGAGAGAGACAGAGAGAGGGGGAGAGAGAGAGAGAGGGAGGAGAGAGAGAGAAAGAGGGGGGAGAGAGAGAGAGAGAGGGGGAGAGAGAGAGAGAGAGGGGGGAGAGAGAGACAGAGAGAGAGAGAGAGAGAGAGGGGGAGAGAGAGAGAGAGAGGGGGGAGAGAGAGAGAGAGGGGGGAGAGAGAGAGAGAGAGGGGGGAGAGAGAGACAGAGAGAGAGAGAGAGAGAGAGAGAGAGGGAGAGAGAGACAGAGAGAGGGAGAGAGAGACAGAGGGAGAGAGAGAGAGAGAGGGGGAGAGAGAGAGAGAGAGGGGGGAGAGAGACAGAGAGAGAGAGAGGGAGGGAGAGAGAGGGAGAGAGAGACAGAGAGAGGGAGAGAGAGACAGAGGGAGAGAGAGAGAGAGAGGGGAGAGAGAGAGAGAGAGGGGGGGAGAGAGACAGAGAGAGAGAGAGGGAGAGAGAGAGAGGGAGAGAGAGAGAGGTTTAGAAGTTCAGTCTCTTCAGCGCTATACAAACATTATTATTTATCATTATTTATCATTAAGTATATATATTATTTATTTATCATTAAGTATATATATTATTTATTTATCATTAAGTAGTTAAGTTAAGTTCAATTTGCAGTCTGATCAAATAGAACTTATAATTAAATATTGAATCATTATCACGCTTTAATAAATCACTGATAACAGTTTTATGAAAGTTTACGACACTGTTAAACATTTTACTGTAATTAAACACTGAGGAACAGGAGAGGCTAACGAGGCTAACAGTTAGTCAGCAGAACAGAAACAAAGACAAACAGAGACGTAACAAAGAGTCTAACTTTTACTAATCAAACATAATAAGTCGTAGAAATGTATTTTACATTAGATAAACCATTGAAACGGATGTAAACTACATAGTAGCTTAGCATAATGAGCTAGCATGTCTCCATGATGATACAGCACTGCGGCGAAGCTAAAACCGAAACCGACAGAGTCGTGACGTTATCGTCAGAACTTCCCGGTTCCGTCGGTTCGGGCCACTCACAGTGTGTGTCGGACGGGTCCGCATGCTGTGCCCGGCCCGCTGCTGCCACCGGGAAACGAGTAAAACTGTCCGGGCTTTGGTCCGTTCTCCCAGAAATTCAACTTCAAACCGCTGGACTCCATGTTGGAAATAATATGAGGAAGTGACGACACAGCGTCAGCTTGTTCTTATTGGTTTGACGTTACGGAGAAGATCTTTACCGCCACCTGGCGTCCGGATGACTGACTGCGCTTCATGGAAAATCAAGATCAAGAAAATCCCCAATAATCATAAAAATGTCCACATTCTGGAAATAAATATTAATTCAAAGTGTTCATAAAAATGTTTTATAGGATAACAGTTCTTTTTGTGTAATACAACATTTCATCTCTCTAAATAGTTTAAATTGTAAGTAAAATAATGCTCCCTATTTCGTTTGAGCTTTTCAATTCTAAAACTGTAGTAGTTCAAGCTACCTGATTAAATTAAATTAAAATTCCATGCCTCGATATTGTTTCAAAGTTAATTAAGTCTAAGCCCCATGTGCAGAGGCTTCTAGCCCTACATACATGCGGCACGGATGGCTTGCAGCTGGGATGCG